CGTCATGGCTGTCGCCGGCCAACGAGTTGGTGTTTTTTCAATGTATGCTTCAGACACGGGTCACGACGAGGCATTCCCCATATTGACCCCTAGAGGACGCAGTGTCTCATTCCCTACTCAGGGAACCATGGTTACATAAGTAACCTGAGACGTTTGCGACTATGGTTTTGGGAAACACAGAATCCTTGAACTATGTCGGTAACGACAGAACTTGCGACCATAGTTGGCTAAAGATGCTTTTGGGAAATGCACCCCTGGACGGGAGCAGGTTTTCTTCGGTAAACCCAGAGTTTATTTCAGTCTCCTCCCCCTTTTTAAAGCATAAGCAATGCTTAAATAATTCATTCATTCATTCATGCTGCAAAAATGCTTTTATTGCTGAGATTTGCCTTATTTCAAGTAGCCTATAAATATCTAAAAACTCTTAAATCAAGATGCATATAAAATTTACATATATATATATATATATAATACGATATTTAGTCTTGTTATTTAGTCAAGTAACATTATCTGCCAGTGGGTTAAGAAAAAATATCTTAATGCAAATGTAAACAATATTATTTTTCTCACCGCACCACTTTTTCATCAGACACTGTAAATGTGACAAAAATGGCACGTCTTTTTACATGGGATCCTGTAGGTGAGGCTGCATTCATTTGCGGGGAGTTACATTTACATTGGGATTTTATTTTATTTATTTTATTTTATCCACATGCATATTTATTTGAGCGGTACTACTTTTAAATGACGTTCACTTGATAACATCTTGTTGCGACCTCTGGAAGTAACCTAATAATTAGAATTTCCTTTAGGTTTTCCAGTGTGGTGCATTGATTACATACATATACTCACTTCCGAAAATGAAGCTGATTACTGTATGGAATAGAAGGATGCCAGATGGATATACGAGATATATGTCATATATAGTGTTGGGAGTAACGCATTACAAAAGTAATACTATTACAGTAGTATATTACTTTTTGCTGTAACGCAGTAATATAACGCATTACTAATCAAATTTTGGAAATATTATTACTTGTTACAATATCAGTAACCAGTTTTGGGAGTAACGCATTAAAAAAGTAATACTATTACAGTAGTATATTACTTTTTGCTGTAATGCAGTAATATAACACATTACTAATACAATTTTGGTAATATTATTACTCGTTACAATATCAGTAACGCAAGTTACAACAACATTTTAACTCATCAAATTTGGGTAATATTATTACTCGTTACAATCTCAGTAACGCAAGTTACAACAACATATTTTAACTCAAAATTAAGTGGTGAATTTACTAATACCGCAAAACAGCACCAGAGAAAAATTCCGCGGGTAAAATAGTTTGTCTGTTTCCTGTTGCTGGAATTAGATGGTTGAGATGACTGCAGAGACGGATTCTACATTTGTGAGATGGACACACCCCTGTTATTTTCAGTTCATCGGAGAAAAGGATAAGAATGCATAGTCAGGTGCAATATGTGAGACACCAAACTCTCAACATGGAGAAATAGCACGAGTAAAACCTAGAAACACCTGGGGCCTCATGTATAAACTTTACGTAGATTTCATTCTAAATGTGTGCGTACTGGAGAAATAGCACGAGTAAAACCTGGAAACACCTGGACTGGTGTCACTAACACTGAGCTACCGGAGAGAGCTGCTGGGTCGGAGAAGAGAAAAATGGCGGCGGACGAGCGCAGACAAGCAACAAAAATAAGTTTAACTAAAAATAACAAAATCTGTTTTTATTAAATCATAGTCTATAAAATGAATGAATATGTGAAATATTTGACTTAAATAGTCTAATTAACAGATTAAAAAAACGAAAGGAAAAGACTGAGATATGCTGCTGAGTTTGGTTCACAGGCTATTTGTGTGGCGCGGCGAGCTACGAAAGTCCATGGAAAGGAAACCGAGATGACAGAAATAAAAGTAATCGCAGTTTCGAATGATCTGTATTTCCATGCATATTTCCATCCACGTGACATGTTTAACGCAGTTGTAGCCTACTACAGCACGTTAGGAAAATATGAGATGCGGACTATAAATGCGTTTTGAGACATCACTATTCAAATTTATGCAATTTGCCTAAAAGGTAAACGTATATTTTAGAATGTCTATAGCCTATATTTTTATGGAAAATATTTTTTTGCAGTGTAAATAGCTGTCTGACTCACCACATGTGCATATCTTACAGTTTCCTTCAAATTCTATCTTTTAAATATGGTGTTTGTCACAATATTGGGAAGAGCACGAAAGGGATTATCATTAGGCTACTGTCTGTGCCCCTGTGAACAGTTCTACTGTCATCGGACCTGTTCAAACCAGCCAATGGACTGTTTGATCAACGAGCGCATCCTTATGTCTGTCGTTACCATCTGTGTTCGAAAGCCATCAGACGAATCAAGTTCACATCAATGATCATTATTTGTGCAAAAGTATTTTCTCAGAACATGAGTTTTGCTATTCAGGACACAATTTAAAGCGGAATTGTCATACGCTAAGCAATCCTCGCTGTGATTAAAACATTAAATCACATACTTTTTTATTTTAAAAACAAACAAGCAAGCCCTGTCCAGATTTAAAAAGTAACGCAAAAGTAACATAACGCATTACTTTCCATAAAAAGTAACTAAGTAGCGTAATTAGTTACTTTTTTATGGAGTAACGCAATATTGTAATGCATTACTTTTAAAAGTAACTTTCCCCGACACTGATTACTACTAATTATTATCATGAGAGAGTAATTGACTCCGTCTAGAGCTTTAATGCTTCACCAAACTCGGCTCAGACCTTCAGACTGGTCTAACTCTTTTCTAACTGGTTATACTGTTTAAATCCCATTGACTTGCATCATCGGAGCAATGAAGGCCGTAATACTTAATGCTGTCCACTAGAGGGGGAAACAGGATAATAAATATTTTCAGTCTACTATTTTTTTTTTCTCTGTTGACATCAGTTTAAATGACAAATAAATGCATTAATTTAATTTGTACTGATATGAATAGGCCATATCTGTGTACAAGAACAAGCTTCACTTAACTCACTGTTAACTGCGCATAACATTTGAAGCAGGAATATGTTGCTGGGCACATATTTTTTACTGCTGCGACTCGTAAGCGACCCCTTTAATGTGAGCTATAGGTCTATGCTGACAGATCAGGTATGTTCGAGCTCGTGGTACTTTGATGTCATTCACCGATCGGTCTGCGCAGCGCCGCTTCAAGTCGAACACATATTTCTAGGCTATAACATTGAATGGATATTGTATGCCCCATTAATAAATGCAGTGCAAGTTCCGTCTCTTTGGATAAAAGTGGAAATACTAAATTTGTTGATGTTTCTCTGATTCTTCTTTATTACGTGTATATTAAACGTTACTATTAATTATTATCACAAGAGAGTAATTGACTCCGCCTAGAGGTTTAATGCTTCACCAAACTTGACTCAGACCTGCAGACTCATAGAAAGAAGTGAAACTGACAGTAATGCAAAGAATAGCCTATAGATTGTGTTCAGAGCAAATGTGTGGCTGACAGTATGCAGATCTCATGCTGAAGAACATGTTTCACAACGGCTGTCGTGTCAAAGTCTGTTCCCCTGTGTTTCTCCATGTTAGTGGTTATGGTTATGGTTAGACAGTTTATAGGAAACACAGGAGGAACTGAGTTCAACACAACACCGGCATCAGTCAGCGCTCGGCTCTCGAGGGAAGATTTAACCTGTTGAGGTGTTTACAGAATGACTGTACATTAAAACTACCTGAACTGTTACCACTGAACATCAACCACAAGTGAGGGACTGTTCCCATTACAGTATAAGTGTACTGTACTTTACATTTAAGCATCAACAAAAATAAATATATGTACTGAAATCTACTTGAATTTGAGTGGATATTGTCGTGGAGAAACTCAGTTCGCTCTCAGAAGAATCAGAAATAATGACTTCCAGAAGTCAAAATTAGACTTTATTGCACAAAGACAAAAACAAAATAGATACCAGCTGTTCATTTGAAATAGTTTCATCAATATTTACAAGAGAAATGTGAAGCAAGACTTCTCCAGTATGACATTATATCATTTAGCAACATTTCAACACCCAGTCTGTAGATCAGAGGAAGTGAAGAAACACAGGAGGAGCTGATAGTATTTAAAGAAGGAGTTGAGAGACAGAAAAGAAGTCAGAAAGAGAAAATGTCTGATGAGTGTCATCTGTGTCTGCTGGGACTGATCGTTCTCTCTTCACTTCTCACAGGTAAAGAAATCTGTGTTTTCTCTACAAGACATTCAGTGGAATTAGTCTGAGAAAGAGTTCATTTGAACATGATCAGTTTCTTCTTGTGTTTCACACAGAACATACTGGATTATTCCTGAACGCACTAAAACTAGACAGTTTCACACTCTAACATCTGATGCTGAATTATTTTCATATTGAGAGTGTGTTTGTGATTTGAACAGCTCTCTGATGAAGAACAATAGTTTATTCTGGAGAGTGTGTTGTTTGTATTCATTGAGGAAAAAAAATAATCTTCAGTTTTTTTTTTATACTGGTATGTTTTATGTCTTAATTTATTAATATATAGTATAATGATCACTCAAATGTTCTTGTGTTTCAGGTACCAGTGGAGTGGATGTGACTCATGTGTTCATCAGTTCTGGTGAAAATGTCCGTCTGCCCTGTAATAATGCTCTTCATGACTGCACATCAACTGTATGGTTCTATAACAGATTCAGAGATTCAGCAGCAGTTGAACTGATTGGTTTAGGGATAAAGAAGAATGACACAGAGAGTCATGAGAGACTGAGTCTGGGGTCTGACTGCTCTCTGAACATCAACAACATCTCAAAAGAAGATTATGGCATTTATAGCTGCAGACAACATGTGAATGGAGAACAAGGACCTGATGCTCGTGTTTTTCTGCATATTCTTCATGGTAATTTTTATGATTATGTGGTCAATTTAAAAGGTTAAATTCTTCATTTAAACTCCCATGATGATTGAAGAGTCTGTGATTTGTGTGTTATTTTGTGTTTCAGTCTCTTCATCCTCCTCCTCATCCTCACAGACTGAGATCAGTGCAGGCCGCTCTGTGACTCTCTTCTGTCAGTTGTATTCAGATCCTGGAGTCTCTTGTGATTATTGGATCAGTTCTGAGGGAATTCAGCTGTTCTGGGTGAATCAGGCTGGTGTTAAACTGACGAGATCAGACTCCAGATATCAGATATTATCCTCATCACATCACTGTATCATCACTCTGAATACAACACTCCTGAATGAAGATCACAACAGAGAGTGGAGATGCAATGTTACTCAGAGAGATCAAGTCAAGACCTCAGCCACATACACTGTCACGAGTTCAGGTGAGAAAGAGAGAGATCTTATTAATCAGTTTTAGACCGTCATAATGTCAGTAACACTAAAGTCTGTTAATATCACTGAAGAAGAACACACTGAGGTACAAAAGCTTCTTTCAGTCTGACAGAAGAAACTCAAAGCACTGCTGTAAACTAATGAACTGCAGTCAAGTTTAACAGTCCAAAAACTGCTGCTGGGAATAATGAAGAGATTAAAACTTGACAGCAAGTTATTGTGTAATGTGATGATCAAAGTTAAATTGTGATGGTCATATTCTACTGCAGGGGCTATAACAGTGATTCAAGCTAAAGTTACTGTGGCTGTGAGTGTTGAACATGTTTTTTTTTTTTTTTTGGTGCAAACGGTATCTATTGTATTTGCAGTGTGCAGTATTTTTCGTAAAATAAGTCAAACCAGGTCAAACTTGTATTGTTGAGAGAAACACACACACACACACACAGAAGTCGCATCGGTGTATAAGTCACATTTTATTATTACATTCAGAAATAATGCAAAATACTGGTAAATAAAGCGAAACTTTAACAAACATTATCAGCACTAGACATGTATTGTCTAGTGTAAAAGCGAAACTGAAACTACTCACGAACATCTCATCATTCGGCATGAATCGTTTTCGTGAATGAATCATTATTCTAGATGAACATTGGGTTTCTAAGCTATTTTTTATGATGTAAAGAAGCTTCGTACTTCTCATGTGTCCCAATGTCAAATTAAAACAGCATCCTACACATGCGTAAAATATGTGTTTGGAAAAAGAGCACGAATGCTCACGCTGACCAGCACAGGCTACTGAACAGAATTAAACAGAGTAACTGAATCACTTCTCTATGTTTAGTTTAGTTTAATGATGAAGAGGCTTCCATGTCAAGACATTCAAAATGGCAAAGGGTTTATTTTTATTGGTGTACCTTCAAAAATAACAGTAAAATGCCCTACTTTTGTAAAATAAAGAAAACAAACAAAATATGCTTGCCATAAACTTCTTCCTGAAGCGTGTCCCAAAAATAAACCGAAATTCATGTTTTACAGCTCAAGCTGAAACAGTGACAGCAGTGATTCCAGTCCACATCACAAACTCTCAGGATCCCTCAATTACAACATCATCAGAAACTTCTAAAGATCAAGGTTCTACTGATTTTAAGCCATTGATGATACTTTCAATTTGACTCTAATAGTCATCAATCCCTGACTATGACGGTCTCTTCTTCAGTCACAGTGATTTCTGTGTCTACCGCTGCATTCGCTGTTGTCCTTCTTGCTGTTCTCTGGCTGATCTGGAGAAAAAGAGCTGGTGAGTTTTCAGATTTCCTCCTTTCTAAAAATTAAAAACCGTTTAGATCTCACTTTGATGAAGAGCAAACAAGCACATCAAGTTGATATTGTATGTATCAAGCATGTGGATTATGTGACTATGAGATTCTCAAACAGAAGTTTATTCCTGTAATGTCAATCTCAAAATGTGTTTAAAGAATAATCATTTCTATCATTCAATTGAATGGTCTTGAAATCTGAATAGCATTAGCATTGTAAACATTCAGTGTTTTGCATGTTTCATCATAAATACTCATATGAGGCAGTTTTTTTTTTCAGATAATAAAAGAGGAACTGATGAATCGGTGGTGAGTTCAGTAATGCCAGTGATTTATATTTGATTTCTGTCTTCACAGCTCAATAAAGTGCAGTTTTAACTGTTTGTTGTCTGAAGGTCAAAGATGAGAATGAAGATAAAGTGACGCATGAGACGATCAACATGTCCACTCCTGCTGCTGCGAGAGTCCATGTGAGTCAAATAAACCATTAGACATTCAGTTCACTGTCTGTTCTATAATGTGATTTACTGAAAGCAGTCATATTACTGTACATATTACAGTGAGAGATATGTCTGATCTGTGAATTAAACTTGAATCGCTGCACGTTTGCATGTATGTTTAGGAGCAGACAGATGATGTGACTTACTCTGAAGTCTCTTCTTCCAGTAAAATGCCAGTAAAATCGCTCAGTGTGAGTAGACGGCAGCACATTCCCTTGTTCTTCATCACTGACTGCTTCAGAGAAGCTTTGTTCATCTATATGCTGCTGAAATGTAGTTCTGAATCTGAGTCTCAGATAAATAAAGCTCATGCGCTAATAGTAATAATGGCATTGATGGAGAAACTCTGTGCTGTTCTTTCAGGATCATAATGATACAGTGACGTACGCTGCCATCAGATGAACAGAAAACGAGCCACAGGATGAACTTTACAAGAACAAGAGCTTCAGAAATAGACATTCATCTCTGTGTGAGCTCATCATATCAGCAGCAGATGGGACATTTTCTCCGGATGCTGAGATTCACGTCTTTGCTGTTTGGAAGAATTATATATTTTTTTTTTATGTGAACAAACAGAACTTATATATATATATATATATATATATATGTTGAATTTTAAAGCGAAGTGCTGTGTAAAAAATAAATAAATAAATAAATTCCCAAGGTTTTTTTTTATTTTATTTTTTAATCAAATGCAGTAGAAACTACTTTCTTGTAGAAAAAGTTGTCAGGTAGACAGTAGTCTGAGAATTACTTATAATAGTTATAATTACTTATAGAATTACTTATAGAATTATAATTACAGTATAAATTACTTATCAAATCAGCAAGTTTATCCAGAAGAGAGCGAGTGCATAATCCAACACCATAATGTTCATAAAACAGTCTAGGGAGTCCAAGAGAAGCACAGTCCAATAAACAGTCCAATGAAATTCAAAGTGGCAGACGCAGTCAAAACGCACAAGGCACAACACTACGGAGAGTAGCAGCAGACAGACACGTCAGCGCTCACTCAACCGGAAATGAACAAAGTAAACATCCAGCTGACATTCGTTTCTGTTAAATAAGATGAACGCTGTAATCTATGACATTGTGGAGACTGTAGCTGCTTCTCATTTCTTATTTGTGCATCCTCGTTTCCTTTCCTCACTATCTTTCCTCGCGTCTTAGCTCCAGCCCCTTAGGATATGAGGGAAGGATGCAAGGGAAGGAAATGAGGACGGAGGAATCAAAGGATGAACATTGGAATATTCTTGACCACTCAAGCATCACTTCAAAGCGTCATCAGCTGCTCTAAAGGGATCTGCTCTTATGTTGTTAAAGTTCGTTATTTAAGGCATTCATAATAAATATTAATAAAGCAAGATGCTCTGTTGAAACATATGACAGGTATGGTTTACTTAAACTGCAAAGGTAAAATATAAATGTGTGTGAAGGGGGAGGATAATTTATATGTGCATCCGTTTTTTCACCAAAAAAGACTTCGGCAAAGGATGCACCTGTGTATCCTCACTCATGACTCCTCAGGAAGCCTCCTCACTCCTCGATCCTCACCTCCTCACAGAGCAATTAGAGAATTGAGGGGTGTTTCTCAAATGGAAGGCTGCATTTCTCGGCTGCCATGTCATCAAACGTCACTGAAGGCCGTCTCAATCGCAAGGATCCTTGGAAGGCAGCCTTCGTTTCGCGTCCTTCATTCAGCTGAATTTGAAGGATGCATGGGATGTATCCTCCGCGACCTTCAATCACCCACAATCCTTTGTAAAAATACTATTAGTATTTTCGTGTCATGGCGGTGAGGGCAGTAACATATGTGACGTAGCCACGTGCACTTACTAGCCTGTCTCATTCTAGCGTTTAATGCCGAGGAGGACTCTAGCCTACAAGCCTCTGAAGGACTGAGCTAGGAAGCACGCAGCCTCGGTAGGATGCAGCCTTCCGTTTGAGAAGCACCCCTTGCCTCTGCCAAAAGGTTTCCATCTAGCTAATCAATGCGAGAGATTGAGATTGGAGTGGAAGCGCAGAGGTGGAGCAGAGAAACAAAGCTACTGTTCAGTATTTCAAGTGCAGGTCAGTTTCTTCTGTAAATATGCTATTGTAGTTTTGTCTTTGTTTACTTAGTTAAGCAGCAGCAGCCCATTACTCATCACTCAAAATACTGTATACTAAAGGACATCATTATTATCTATCGTAAAGTCACAGTAATAATTTAGCAGACACATAATCACATCGTTTTATAATAGGTTTAGGGGGAGCTAGGGCAGACAACAACACAACCTTTACGGAAATTAATGATGATTTTACCATAAGTCCAAAGACAATGATTACTATTGTTAAACCATGGTAACCACAAATTAACCATTGTTTTGCTACACTAACCATAGTTTAACCATGGAATTTGTAGTAAAACTAAATACAAATGGTAATCCATTTGCCCAAAAAACAAACAAAAAAAAAACATGGTGACTGTACTTTTACTATAATAAAATCATGATTAATTTTTGTAAGGGAAAAATATGATTCATGTTCATTATTAGAATTTTTCTATAAAGATATTGTAATGATGTTAATATCGTACAAATGTTGGCATTTAGGCAATTTAGAAAGTAAAGTTTTGTTAAATTGAGTATTAAAGTCATGTGAGAGACAGAAAAGTAAAATGGAAATGAAGTTGCAGTCCAGGAGAGAACTTGTAATTATTTTGCATGTCCCCAGCCGAAGGATTTAAACCTTTATTATGTGATGCCATACAAAACAAAAAAATAGGGTTGTCCGTGTTTCAGTATTTGTTGTGCGTGTATGGGATGGCCTGGAGAAGAGTGAGATTTCCCGGCCTGAAATGTTGTCCCATTCCGCCCCTGCTAACAGGTACAACAGGAAGAAGAGGTTACTAACTCCAGGAAGAGCATGAAAGTAAATCTAAACGCTGCAGCTGCTGTTCTCTTCATTTCATCATTTGACCAAATCCTCTACATGTTTCATGTAAAGAGTGTGATTTATTAACGTTTTGTTCACTAAAGATGGCAGAAGAACCTTCCGCACCAGGTAAGTAATAAAAAATATCGTAACACGACGACTGTATATTATTTTATTCCATTAATAAAAACAAGGAAACTATTTATATCGTCATAGTCATATAACCTATGTGTTCTTATAGTCTTTGAATATCGAATAATAATTCTATACACCAAAAGCACATGTAATATCCTTTGGACTGAAGGAGAAGCAAATTCATAATTTTCATGTTAACAACAGATGACGCAGTAACACTTCATCTTTCAGCCATCAGACTGTCAGAAAATCAAGGATGTACAGTTGTAATGTTTACATAAAGTGTAGTTTAACTAATCTCTGTGGTATAATTTAATCATTGTACTGTGAAAAAATTAAATAAAAGACCCTGCCATTTAATGTGTATTTTTGGTCTAAATTAAAAACAAATGACACTAGAAAAAATGCTACAAATATTTTTTTTTTCTTGACACCAGAGTATTAGTGTAGTGAACACACATATAGCTTTACTGCATGCAGAAATTAAAGGGGTCATATGATGCTGCTAAAAGAACATTATTTTGTCTATTTGGTGTAATGAAATGTGTTTATGTGGTTTAAGGTTAAAAAAAACATTATTTTCCACATACTGTACATTATTGTTTCTCCTCTATGCCCCGCCTTTCTGAAACACGTCGATTTTTACAAAGCTCATCGGTCTGAAAAGCGAGGTGTGCTCTGATTGGCCACCAATCCAGTGCGTTGTGATTGGCTGAATACCCTTACCATATTGTGATGATGCCCTGTCAGGCCGGAGCGATGTTTCAAAAACATGAAAACCCATTATAAATGAGGCATTCGTTGCATCCAGTGGGGATGCATACTGATTATAATGACTTATACTGTCTTTTTACGCGTTGCATCGTGCCGCGTAAACATAAAACCATGTCTGCTTTTGTGATCGGAGAAATGACAAACAACAAGTGCTACTCTACACTGCTCAAAACTCGCTTTTGAATCGTCAGTGGCAAATTCTTTATATATAAAAAACGTACTTACATTCTGTGAGTCAGAACAGCCGGCATTGTATTCTACTCTACCAGGATCAGGAAACAGTCCTCCATAAAATGTGCTGCACACATCTGAATATTTGGGTTGAACTGTTCTGGAACAGTGTTGTAAATACAACTTAACCACTGATTTCTAGTCGTGTCCTCTTTTGGAAGACCAAACAAAGTAGTTTCGCTTTCACAATGAAACAGCGTCACACACCGCGGCCTTGAGTGAGCAGAGGCGGACGGGCTTGAGAACGAATTGAAAAAATTTAACTTGAGAAAAATTGAAATCGCATCATATGACCCCTTTCAAACACGGACTAACAAAATTCTTCAAAAGTAAATATATATATATATATATAGTTGTTGTTCACAGCAGCAGCTTCCAAATACAAATGGCACACTTAAAATCAACTCCAGACCTTTTACCTGCTTAACTCACGCAGAAATAATGAAGGAATAGCCCATACCTGTCCATGAAACCGTAATTCTAAATCATGTTACTTTTTACCGGGTGTCTGTTAGAGTTCACTACACTGGAGTACAGAGCACTATGAATTGTTCTTCACGCGCTTAGTAACTGAAATTTAAAACTATTAAAAGAAAAGGCTCAATAAACTAACGCACAGATTTAATACACTACGCATCAGTATCTCTTCCCTTTGTGCTTTGAACTTTTCTATGCGGAACGCTGCGCGCTGTGACTCCGTGTTGCTTCAAGAGCATAATTCTTCGCATGGGATGCGCATAAGCGATTCGTGCCGCTCTGTATTGGAGACTTTCATGTTAATACTTTTGCGCAATGAAAGGTTGTTAATAGACTTTGTTGTTCTGTCTTATTTATCATATGTTGCTGCCTCATTACTGTGCTATAAATTTTAATAAACTGAAGTTAATGCCAGTTTTAATTAAATAAATCAAACAATTTACACCTACTAACATTCATTTGAATTCAATTTATTTTACATTTCTATAAAACTAAGTTAATCTACAGTATTTGAGCACATTACTTTAACTTCTCTTTTATTATGGTCACTAATTTTATATTTAAAATGTATATAATATGTTTGGCATGCATTCGTTTTTCAAATATCAAATAGCTGAGGGCTGATTAGGGCTTAAAGCAGTGAAATTATGAATAATTAAGCAAAAACATGACTAAAGGGGAATCTGCTTTCAACACTTGCTGCTACAAAGAAATGTATC